TACCCCAGGCAGACGGCTTTGGAAGCACTTCCAGGGGTATTTGCTGCGGATTTCTCCCTGCCTTCTGCTGTTCTTAATAAATGGTGCCCAGACCATAACAGAAGAAAGAGGAGGAATGCGCCTTGGATTTTTGTGAGGGGCAGAGAAGGAGTTTCCCATGGGAACACCAATCTGTGAAGCTGCATTTTGCCACATCACCAAAGTACTTAATTTTTAATTTTTTTCCCCTTTTCCTTTCCTTTCCCCACCGGCGAAAATCTGCCTCGATGACTGTGCCACTCGGCTTCTCCCGTGCTTCCCCCTTTGGCATTGCTGCTGCCGGGGTGGCTCAAGGGTGGTGGGAGCACCCGGTGGTCCAGCACCTGAAATGGGCTGTGTGGGGGACTGCCTGCTGCAGGACGGCCTTGCCACCAAGGCTCTAGCTGGGTTAGAAAGAGATGAAGTGTTTCTGTGGATGACAGGAGCATCCGCAACAAGAATAGTAGATACTGCACATCCCCAAGGGTTTTTAAGAGCTCTGAATCCTTGTGCTTTACGGCTTAGCTTGCCTGTCTCCTTGGGAAGCATCTGAGCATCCCAGAAGATGCACCCTAGTGCTCGTTGCTGAAGGGTTTTCTGCGCTTCCCTCCAAGTCATCTTTGTCGTAACCGGTACCAAAACTGGGGGGAAACACCGGTCTGATGCAGCCTGGCACTTTGGGTGCCATTGCATTTTCCATCCCCTGTTTAGCTCCATGTGGTGAACTTGTTCCCACTGCTCCGGTTTGCAGCCGTTGTGTAGGTCAAGTCGAAGATTTTTCTTGGCTCCAGTCCTGAGAGTCCTTGCCAAGTATGTGGTTTATTGCATGCAAATGTTAGTCAACAGTTACATTATCCAAAGGCAGCCTTTTTTCCTTTCTTTTTAGCTTTAAATAAATGATTTGGCACAAACAAGTGTAAATGTTATGTCAGCATTAGACACTATTTAATCTTGACGGATATGTTAGCGGCAGAGCGTGACACTAATTGACAGACATTAAATGATGCTTTCTGTTTCTTGTTGCGTACAAACAGGAGTTCTGCTTCGTTAGGGCTGATTAAAACTCCACGTCTCCATAGTTTGGGTGGGATTTTTCTTTTCTGTATTAATCAAGGGGATATTTATCACCGGGAAGGCCTGCCATGTGGTTCCCCTTGTTGTGATTAATGCTTTGACACTCTCGGATGATTTGGTTATCCAAACAGAACAGCCCTTTTTTCTTGTCCTTGTGCTTTGTGCTTGAAAAGGAAAAGGAAAACCCAACTGGAAGTCTATCTTCTGTCCATAAAGAAGCCACTTAGGGGTTGCAGAGAAAAGGCTTGGGAAGGAGAGGAGGGAGGGCAGTGCTCGCGGCAGGGGGGAGTCAGCCACGGTGTTTCTCCACGGCAGAGGCTGCGAGGGAGCCGGCGCTGCTGCCCACATCCCTGTCTCCAACCAGCACCCGTGTCAGACCCAGCACCTGCTTTGGCAGGTGCCCACGCCGCAAAAGCCGTGCACTTGACGGTGCCTGTGTTGCGGCAAACTGTGGCGTGCGGCAGCTTTCTGGTCTGGGTCCCAAACAAGGCAGCTCCTGTGAGCAGGACGGCGCTGCTGGCAGGATTAGTGTGGGGGGAAGAGACCCGACTTCCAGCCCTGGCTGTGACAAACAGTCACACACGTTCGGGAGCCTTTCCCGTCCACGACATCGCCGGGTGAAGGCAGGGGCGGGAGCCGTTCCCATCCACGACATCGCCGGGTGAAGGCAGGGGAGCCTGGCGAGCGGCGTCTGCCGGAGGATTGGTCTGGTGAGGAGCCAGCACCAGCCTCCTAAGGCGATACGAGCTCCCCAAGATCCCATTTTGCCATCTTGGTGCCTTTTGTTTGTTTTAAAGCTACTGAAATACAAAATTAAGCTGGGAGTAATGGTATGGCAGCTCGTTTCCACTTGGGAAAAGTCGCTGCTGCCAAAGCAGAGGCGAGGGAGTGCGCCCACGGGCAGGCTGGGACCCAAGGTCGGTCCCTCTCCTCCTCTGTACGAGGGGGGAATGTTCATACCGACAGCTCCCAGGGGGAATTCTTCTTCTTCGGGTCCTACAGAGCCCAGCGCTGCTCCTGGCTGCGCTGGTGTGGTTGCAGGACTGGAAGGCAGCAGCAGAAATAAGAACTGGGACCAGTGCTTGTGGTGCAAAACTCTGGAGGCCACTGGGATTGTGCTTACATTTTGGGACAAGGAGTAATTTGGGGGTGTTAAAGAAAGTGTTTCACTATGTAAGCTCTTACTTTGGGGAAATAGTCACCTGTTTCATGCTCATCGGAGAGTAAATGGGGTTGGAGGATGCTCGGTGGTGCCCTATACCTGGCTGGATGAGTGATGGAGCAGCGTTTGGTGCTGAGCACCTAGAAATAGTGGTGAATGATGATTTACCACCTGTAAAACCTTGTGAGCTGGTGCTTGTGACATCTGCAACACTTGTTCATGTGGGAAGCTGGTGTCGGAGGGACAGCCGTGGTCATGTCGTGGCAGAAACAGGGGTCAAAAGAACATCCAAACCTGGGGCAAAAAAACCACTGAGGCAGCTTGCTTTTAATAAAGACTCTGCACTCTTTATTCCAAAGGACAATGCACATCAGATAAAATAGTATCAAAAAATATGTACAAAAATAGTGACTATTTGCACTGGACTTGCTTTATACCAGCAAAGTTAAGTGTGAGCAGTTGGGGGTTGAAGCAACAAGAAGGCTGTTTTACTGGTTGTAAACCATCAGCTGGGGAAAAAAAAGTAGCCATGACACGAACATTTTCCCAAAGAAGCATCCAAGAAGTTCAGTTTATGTCTGATTTTCAGTTTATATCTAGTTTTCCCAGCCCAATCCAGTCCTTCCCAGCATACCGTGCCCATCCCTGCTGCTCTTCTGCTGGCTGTGCAAAGGACACATCGTGATCCCTGTTCAGGGCAGCTCTGGGACGGTCGGAGCTGCTAATCCGGTGTATTTAGTGCAAATATCGTGCCTCTGCGTTGGTTTAAGCAGCATCCCAAGGGTCTGGGTTTTCAACAAGACCTCCTCCCCCTGGAGATGCCATCGGGAGGGTTGCGTGCCCTGCGGGGGCTTGGCTCCGAGGCCATAAAGGCTTTTTGTTGTTGTCGTTCCAAGCAGCGGATAAGCAAAGTGGATAAGCAGCGGGGCTGGGTTTGAAACACATTGCAACAGTGCAGGGGAGACGGCCTTCTCGCCCGAGCGAGAGAAGGGGCCGGGGGGATACGCAGCATCTGAGAGCGGGAGCTGGGAGAAAAACGTTATCTCGAGGTGGTGGGAGTTACTTTCAGACAATTAGAAAGCAACTGGTTGACCTCCAAATTGAGCAAGCAGCTTTGATAGCAAGAGCAAATGAGTATCTACCGCAAAGGGTTTCAGTTTGCGTGTCCTCCTCTCCCTGTCCTCCCTTCCCCTGAGCTTTTCCTCATCCGCGTTCCCCCAGCAGCTTCATCTGTGCTATGGCCGCGAGCTTGCAAGGTCTGCATCTATGGGCAAGGCGAAAGATCGGGTCCCAAATAATCCTGTTAAAAGGGACAGATCTAAGCGGTTTCTTAATGTTATTTAATTGTCTGTATTTCCCTGCTGCGGGGGGGAATTGGACCACTGCGTTTTTCAATTCTCTTTCGGAAAGCACAGGCTCCACAGGAACATTTCTGGAGGTTCACAGGGAAGAAACCTCCATGTATTTTTGTTTCAGGAGATTAAATTTGCTCCAGCAGAGCTATGCTGATTTACACTAGCTGAGGAAAAGCGGTTGATGGGCTTCCTCTCTTGAAAATCTCATTTTATTTCTACACTTTCCCCCACGGACATCGCAGCATCTGAAGTTTTAAGTATGATCAGCTAAAAAAAAAAATAATAATCTTTGCTCTTCTGCTAGTGCAAATAGTTGTCATGTCAGTGAAAAAAAACCCACTTGTAAAGATATCATCGTCTTGCTGCCCTGACGCCTCGGCGCTGAGAGTTGGGCTGATTTCACTTGCAAGCAGGGAGTTTGCTGCTTTGAAAGCTGACAGGAGCGTTGAACTCTTCGAGCTGTTGCTATTTTAAATCGCTCGTATGGGAATGTTCAAACAGCCTCAGCACCCGGATATGCAAAGCTCATCTGTCATTGCGCTATTGTCCGCGTGCCCGGGGCTTTCTGGTTCGGCTGTCAAGGCGGTTGGGATCTCGTCGAAGGGCAGAGGGATGGGTTTGGGTGGGGGTCAGCTGGCACGGCTCCATCCCAGCCGGGGCGGGCGCCTTCGCTCACCTCCCACCAAACCCCCTCCCCGGCTGCATCAGGCACTTCAGGGGTTTTTTTGTTGCTCGTGGCAGAAAAAGGGTTTAATTCTCCCCAAAAGGCACATGTGTTGCCCCGGGTGGAGGCTGTGGTGCTGCGTGACAGCACACAGAAATCTTGGGGGGCTCTAAGTCCCCCCTGGGACCATTAGCAATTATCAAAGGCAGAAATGCAATTTTTTTTGCCTTTTTTTTAAAAAAAAAAACCCCTCGTTTTCAGATGATAAAACAGCTGGTGGCCCAAGTGGCCCTATCAGTGCCAGCCCAGGACCAGCAGTTTGCTTTTTGCCCTCTTGATCTCAGCAAGGGACAAAGGCTTGAGGGGGGCACAGGCGATTTTGGGGGAGCAGAGATGGGCGATTGCTGTCTCTGGAGCTGGACCATCCCTTTCCGCCCCCAAAAGAGGCTGCAGTATGTCACAGCTCCAAAGTGACCCCGGAGCAGTGCTATCAAGCGTGCTGAATTACACACTTTTAAAATTTTGGGTGGTTTTTTGAGGTTTTTTTTACTGTTAGCAATGAGAGAGGCTGCTGTGGCAACTCTAAAATGCTGATGAATGGGGTCTCCCTCTCCTAATTTGCTCTAGAAAAAAAGAGACGCAGTATTAAAAAAAAAAAAAAAAAAACCAATG